ATCACTTACACACCACACCACGGCTTGTGCGTTTCTACCTTATTTGTTTTAGCGCCTGCTCTCTACACTCTATGTGGCTTTTTACCTCTTTGGCTTTTGCCCTACCGCCTTTTCTACTTCTTCAGCTGCATTTGATGATCATTATGCAAATATATCTGTACCATAAGTGTGTGTATGCCATTGGCGCTGTGTCGCTTCTTCTTTTTTATATGCCGCAAATTACCCTGCGCTCTCGTTGAGGCAGCCTTTATTTATTGTAATGTTGAGTGGTCTCAGCAGTTCCATTGAATTATTGTTTTTGTTGTCATTGCTGAAGTTGTTGGCAGCTTTGAACGCCAAATAATATACTGGTTGGCGGTGGCGCACGCGTCACAGCCACAGTGTTCAATCATCTATACTATTTCATTTGGAAGTTAGGTTAGTTGAAATTGACTCAAGGGCATCTTATGCTAGGTTAGTTAAAGTTAGGATAAATGGTCGATACTAGCAGAAATTTCACATGGACCGCTTAATATCTCGAACCGTTGCTTTATCTAAAACTTGTATATAAAAGATCATAAAACCCTCATAAATCGACAAAGCGCTTTGAGTCTTTCACAAATTTGTTAAGACCTCTTATGCTAGTTTCGGCTATGCCTCCTGGTTCGCCGAAGCCAAGATGGTTCAGACTTAGTCTAGCAAAGGCTGGACAATGTAATAGAAATTACTGGTCAATTACTTTCTACTATACAGTTTCGAAAGCTTGCATCCGACAAAATTCTAAAACTTCTTCAATAGCGGCAAATTTAACTTTGCTAAGGCGTGTAGTCAGTTGCTCCCCTGCATACAATTCTGCACCAAAGGAACCTCGCTGTCGCACAAAAGCTGGTCCTCGACCTCGTTCCCATTCCGTTGCTAGCAGACCAGGGCAGCCAATATATGTTAACAGCAATGCTGCCAGCGTGAATGCCGACCTCCCTTAAAGAAGTAGGCCTTCGTAGTAGTAAGACTACTGTTCCCTTAATAGCAGCGACATTTACCTGAAAAAATAGTCAATTCAACAAATTTGTTTATGGTGCCAGTGACTCTATGGTTTAACTTTAGTCAAGACAGAAACCTATGTTAACATGTAGCTATGCCAACAACCTCTGATACTTTTTATGTATAATTAAATATATATATATATATAGCCCATGATGCTAGTGCTGCGTATTTTCTTAGTTTGTATAATAATTGTATTATTATGTAAGCTTTTATAAAATAAAAAAAAAATAAAATAAAAATAAAAATATTATTAAAGTCTGTGATCCATTTTATGAGGCCAATGACTCTATCGTTAACATTTTATGGAGTCAATGACTCTATAATACTTGACTCAAATGTCTAACAGCCAGAAAGGTTAGTTCAAAGTGAAAACTCCCTAACTCCGCTTCTCTCTAAGACTTCCATGTTGATCACTGATAGGATTGCTTTGCACTGGAATAACATATCTGACATGTTGACATATTTCTCTTGAGTCAAATTCCGAATGAAGTACTAGATACCGATGTCACCAAAGTAGTGATAAATACCGTAAAGGTCAAAAATATTATGTGTTTCTCTCGAGCGGATGACTTTTCGATTTTAATCCAAGTTTTTTGATAATATTTCTTGGCAAAAACTGAAAATGGTATTTCCTGGGAAAGCAGTGAATTCATATGTAGAAAACCTTACGAAAAACTTCATTAGTTGGGCATTGTAGATAAGATTGTCTCAACCATTATAATTTTTCATTTGGTTTTCTCTACAAAATGTTCAGACTATATTAAAATGTATAAGAAATGTTTCGAACTATAAATCGGCTCGACGGATATGAAAGTTTCTGGAGGATTTTTGCCTTTAAAAATTTCCTAACACACTTTATTTGTCGTTTGGCATTACTGAATTACATTACATCATTCACTGAAAAAAATACAATGTTAAGTTCGAGTATAATCAAGTAATCGAACGTTTAATACTTCTTAGTCTGTCTTTTAGATTTTGGGACTTGGCAGCACTAGTATTGCAATCTGGAAACTTGCAATTTTATCCTGAACCTTAACACTTTTGATAACATGCATACTCAAAACGTTTCGATATTGCTATTTGTGTTGTTTACAGTAACTTAAAATATTCTTCTCGACCAAACAATAAGATTAATTTACAACAACGATGACTGTTTATCCATCATATAGTCCTGACTTGGCACCGAATGACTTCCTTTTATTCCCGTTCGTAAAAAAAATAAGCTAAGAGGTCAACATTTTTCGACACCTGAAGAGCTGCTTTATCGTTATGTAGTCGCTAACAGTACACTGTTCCTACAAGCTTATTTACATGGTATTCATTGTCGCTTCACTCTGAAATCTAGTTTATTTTTTAAATTTTTAAAACAAATGCCCACAATAGCAATTGACCATCGTTTATTCAAAACAAGAACAAACGATTTGCATTGTTTTCGTGATACTCTTTCCACAATGGCTCATCAGTAGCAATGCTAATTATGCCTTTGATCAAATTGAAGACGATCATAATTTCAGCGCTCATGACGATGATGATGTTGCAGACCGATGCCTGTGGAGTACACTTGTATGTACATATCTATGTAGATGTAAGCAGACCGTCCGCCTGTTGGTCAAACAATAACGGCAGCAGGACATTAAGTCCGCGCATATATTACGCCCATCGCAATATCGTTTAGAATGTACTGCAAATTGTGGCCGCTAAGTGGCTGCAGGCATTTAATGCTCCTCCACAGCACAGGTGGGTTAATTAGTTAGTTGGCGTTCGTTTGTTTGGTGGGTTGTTGGGTTAGTAGTACCGCCACGGCCGGCTATTTGTTTTGCTTTGGCTTGCTTTTGAGTTACTTTGACTTGCTTTGAGTTGAGCTTGATGAGCTTTGTTGGTCTCTGTATGATTGCTCGCACTGTCATGTTATTAGCACAACGAACGGTGTTGAGTGTTGCCGTTTTTAGCCTTGAGCTATACAAGCAGGAAGTTGCCGTTTCTTCGAAAGGACATTATTGGCAACATATTATATATACATATACAAACATATATAAGTTGTATAGTTACATACAGCTGTGCGTTTGCAATGCGCAGTAGCGCCGTTTGGCGCATGCGCCTCTCTTTCACTGCAGTTACATATATATTTCAATTTTTCTTGTTACTGCTTGGCTGCTTGCAGCTGTTTGGTCAAATTGTACGCTTTTAGTCTTATCATTGCGACCTGTATGGCGTTGCATACCCGCTCATTCAATACTCATGCGCTAAGCTCTTCGTTATTTATAGCGAATTAATAATGTAAATGGTTCGCTAATCCAACTTCGTTGGTGGCATTGCACCAATGTATTTATTAAGTGGGCTTATCCGGTATTTATGTGAATTGTAATGCAATATGCTGTTAATATCTGGTCGCAGTAGCTATTCGTAGCAAAGAATTAGCAATCTTGTTAAATTTATAATTTGGTTTCTTTTTAAAATGAAATCGATATTAATACTCTCACTTAGGGAATGCTTTACTTTGAGAAAAATAAAACTTTGTAATGGTCCAGAAATACGAAAATAAGTGAAACTTTTTAGTATCCGCTGTCAACAAATGTTGATAGCTCAGTACAATATTCAATTGAGTTTATTGAGTAATCGAAAAAGTCTTTACGTGTTTTCTATCGTCAATAGATGTCGTAGCAGCCGTATATCTCCAGTGATACCAATCACATTGTATCATACCATATAGCGTTAAACCTTTAAACTTCTTATAACAAAAAAAAAATTAAATTCGGGGAAGTTGAGAAAAAGTTAGAGCTGTTCAAAAATGAGTGAAAATAATGAAGAAATTCGAATTTAGATTTTTTTTGTTTGCTTATAAAGTATACCACGCCAGCCACCAATGAAATTTTGTGAGATTTAAGGAGACGATGATGTATCAGTTCGTGTAGCACTACAATGGTTCACTCTCTCCCGTTCTGGAAATTTCGATGTGAAACATGCATCTCGCTCGGGTCGACCTACCGTTGAAAAAGTCCATGAAATTATGGAGAAGATTGACCAGGACTCTGACATAAGCAGCCACGACATCATTAAGGAACTTAGCATTCATCATCAAACGGTTTTGAGTTATTCAAAAAACGCTTGCTGAAAAAAGAAACTCGTTATTTGGATACCACTGAATTATTTGTGAAAAATCTAATAGACCGAATTAACATCTGGGATTCTTTGCTGAAACGCAATGAAATCGAATCGTTTCTGAAGCGAATTGTAACAAGAGACAAAAATTAGATCAAACACGACAAAAATTTGCGAAAAAAATCATGGTGAAACTCAACAAATGATCACAAAGCCAGGATTGATGCCTAGAAAGGTTATGGTGAGAGTTTGGTGGGATTCTAAAGGAATCATCCACACTATGAGCTAGCCAGGTCGAAAGATTGATTTTACATTTTACTGTCAACAACTGATGAGTTTGAAGCAAGCAATCAAAAAAAAAAAAATAATAATAATAAAAAACACAAAACAGTCAGACTTGATCAACAGAAAGGGGTTCATTTTCCATCAGGATAATCGTTTCGACTTCCTTAATGGAGTAAAGTTGGCTTTAAGAAAAGCGTGTGAAAATTACTTGTAGCAGTTTTTCGCCGAGAAACTAAAAAAATTTTATACTGATGGAATAATGTCTCTAGAGAAAAATGCCAAAAACTGGTCTATCCAAATGATACATATGTATATGGTTCATTAAAGTTCATATAAAAAAAGATAAGTTGAAATTTGTTTAGAAATACGAAAAGACTTTTTCGACTACCCCATAATAACATATTAAAAATAGCCAAACCAAATTAGAAATCATATCATCACTATTGGAAAATCCGGTACCTAAAATGTAGCTTTTCAATACTTGTTCGGCACAGATTGGAATAATAATTAACTTACGCACGAATATAGTTATGGATATTAACATAAATCGATAAATAATTCCTGAAAATCCCTATTTAAAACACAGACATGCATACATTTGTAAAAATAGTTGATAAAACATTTAATAATAAATTGTAATAGAATCAATGACCATACATGACAATGATATAATAATACCGCGTTTACTCAGTAGCAAAAGAGTTTCGCTATCAAAACCAAGATAATACTCGCTGTCAAGGTAAAGATGTACGTTGAACTGTAATTGCCGTTATTAGTGTAATTGGTACTGTTATTGTTATTGCAATAGCTCGTGTTACACATGTTGCAACGCTGGTATTGGATAAATCCAACAGCCGTGAATGCGCAAATATCTATAGTGCTGTAGGAGCAGCCGTAATAAAACTGCATAGGATTGTCTAATAAGAAATGAAAATAAATCAATAAAGTACTTAAATATTATTAGACTAAAATTTATTTTTGAAACTCACTACTTAAAATGGCCTCAAACACACAAATATATGTCGAACTGGTGGTACTTAATATCGTTTCATTCACATTTAAATATTTGCTAGCATAATTCATCGTTTGCTGAGCCAATTCCGTATCGCATTTTGCCGATTGTTTGTCGTTGCAGTTCTGACCCGAAGCGCTGTCACAAACGTAACAGTCTAGAGATGTGGCTGTGAAAGATGCATGCAAATTATTTTGGTTACTGAATAACGAATAATAACTGTAGCATTTGGAGGATGAGTAAAAGAGAGCTCAGTCTAAAACGCCAATCAATTTCTGCTTAGACAGAGCAATGCGAATTCTAGTCTCGCAAAATACCAAATTTATGATAAACTCTGGCTATTTGTTGAGCAAGAAAGATCCCTTGCTAATAGCAAAAGTAAAGACACTTCAGAAAATATTTTATATTCAGACGGAATTTTGTCTCATTTAATAAAAACGGTATTTTGAACAGGAACGCCACAGAAGTAGACCAATAGGGAGAGCCATACTTTCTTTTCCGCTCATTTGAAATTTCTCTTCAGTAAAACAATCCAACAACGAGTCGAAATCATCAAAATTTACTACCGAAATTCGGAGTCAGTGGCCTCAACCATAAGAGCGCTACGTCCAATTTATGGACGTCATATTCGCCCTGTTAGATCAACAAATGAGCGTCTAATGGGTAAATTTGAAACCTGAAGATGTTTCGTGTTAGTGAGATAAAGAAGTGCCCGTAGTGTTGAGAATATTGCTGCCGACAGCGCATCAATTGAAGAAGACACAAATCAGTCTCTTACAAGTAGTTCTCAAGCGTTAGTCATCTCTGTGACGTCGTTGTGACGAATTTTACGAAAAGATTTTGGTCTACATCTTTACAAAATCAAATGGCGCCAGAACTGAAGCCGCTTGACCACCGGAATCGTCCTATGTTCGTAAATTGGGCTCAGCAACAACTTGAAAATGATTCGGATTTTCATCGAAAAATCATATTCTGTATAAATACGGTTTGGTGCGGTTTATAGACCGGCGGCGTTTTTTTGGCCCGAATTGTAGTTTCAACAGGACGAGGCCACAAGCCACACACCGAATGTCACATTAGATTTATTGAAAATTAAGTTTGGTGAACGTGTTATCTCAAGAAGTTGCCCAGTCAATTGGTCGGTCTCCTCTGTCATGGGATTTGACGCCGTTAAACTATTAACTGTGGGGCTATTGAACATAAAACTGCAGTAGTATCGGCCGATTTATGCTTGAAAACTGTCGAAAATTGGGTTCAGCTTCTGGACTTCTAGAAGCAAGCATTTCATTGATATCCCAAACCGGTTTTGTTTTAGTTAATAAAGTTTTTATAACAAAAACTTACTCAAACCAATCCAAGAGCAAGCAATAAGGCACATAATGGGAAATATTAGCACTTTATTCATTTTGCAGACTCTTAACAACTTAACACTTAATGCAATTTACTGCAAGCGAAACTTTTCAAGGAACCTGGCGTTCGTACTTTCGGGTAGATACTGAAAATAAATGCAAAAATGCAACTATAAATAGAAAAAAGAACACCACACCTTATTTACAAATGTGGGGTTCTAGGAAAAGACACCATACAGCAGTCTCTCAATTGTCACTTTATCTATATGTATATACAAATTTTTTTTTTAAATTTTGATAAGTATAGTGTAAAAGCTGATTCATCAAGGCTTATTTAATGTCTAGTGCACCCAATCAATTATGAAAAAACCATCACGTCGAGCAACTATAAGGTCACTAAAGTACTGATATACAAAATACCCGGAAATTGTAAATAAAACTCAAAATATTTAATTATTCATCAGTATTTATTTGTCACCTACATAGCAATCTCCTCCAGATGCATTATACTTATGCCAACGATTTTCCAGTCCTCGAAACACTTTCCATAAGCCGTTTTAGTGATAGTCTTCAGCTCCTTCAGTGAAATTTCTCGAAATAGGCTTAAATCTGGGTTCAAAATATGCGTTCTGGATGCATCAACCGTCAGTTCAGGTGTTGAAAACGGTGTCAAAACGGCACTGTACGGTAAACGGCTCATCCAATCGTATGTTCTGAGAGCTCTAAATGACATTTGTTTCAGTCAATGTATGACAGCTCGCATTATCGTGGTGGATAGTGAACCGACCACAGTGGTTGGTTTCCCTGGTTTCTTGAAAGACTACTGGCAAAAAATGGTTGTGCGCTACTCACAGTTTGTCACGCTGGCATAGATGTGTTTCAAAGTATCGTTAACGTATTTTTTTTTAGCATTCCTCTCAACCAATCACCTTTATTGAGCTATCCACAAATTATGTGGGAACTAACGTGAATTTTTTTTTCTACAATCAAAAAGCCCCAATAATGCACATAGTTGGCTATATTTCACGAGAGGCACATGACGATCTTGCCCAGTTTGTGCACAGCATAATTAGCTTCCTGAACAATAAGTAAATTTGGTTGAACTCACGAAATTTGTTTTATAGTGATCACATCCTCGATTGAATTAATCCAATTCATGGATAAACACTGGCTCTTTATGAAGCTTGTTTTAAGTTCACCGAGTTACTGAGTTACTCCATGTTGAAAGTAGAGAAAATGATCGTGAAGATTATTTTAAGTTACTGTAAATAACACAAACGTCGCTTCGTATGCCTAAACGTTCTGGGAATGCATATAATCAAAAATGTCAAATTTTACGACAGAGTTTTGAGTTGCCAAATTGCAATACTATAGTTGACATTCCCGAAATAAAAAGGCAACCGATGTACAAAATATGAGTTGTTTCTCCAGAAGTCGTATCAATGGCGAACGGCGCCGAATCGACTCTCCAGGGCTTTCGTGTACATTCTCAGCTACGGCGTTCGTGCTGGGCATTGTCTTTTCAATCCAATATAATCCAATAATGAATGCTGGGTCCCAACATAGCTAATGGTATTAAGGTATAATCATAATCTGCTCTGATTTATATGATTTATTTTGATTTATTTGACAAACACTACGGCGTTATTTTCATTATAAAGATACATATTGAGTAGTCGAAAATTTTTTTTGGTATTTCTAATCAATTTTCAACTTATTTTTTATATTTATAACCAACTTTAATGAACCAAATATCTACCATTTGGTCGACAACTTTTTGCTATTTTTCTGCTAGAGTAATTATTTCATTAGTATAAAACTTTTCTGGTTTCTCAACGAAAAACTGCGATAAGTAGTTTTCAAAGGCTTCTCTTGAAGCCAACTTTACTATATTAAGGGAGTACTGCATCAATCGAAGCAATTGGTAGTCCGATGGTGCAAGGTTAGGGCTATATGGTGGATGTATCAAAACTTCCCAGTCAAGCTCGCCCAGCTTTTGTCGAGTCATCGAACATGTATGAGGTCTAGCGTTGTTTTGAAGGAAGACGAAGCCCTTTTTGTTGAAAGTTCTGACCGTTTTTTCGATTGCTTGCTTCAATCTCATCAGTTGTTGACAGTAAAATGTAGAATCAATCGTTCGATCAGGCTGGAGCAGGACATAGTGGATGATTACCACCAAACACTCAACATTATCTTTCGAGGCGTCAATCCTGGCTTTGCGACCATTTTTAAGTGATTCAAGACCGTTTGATGATGAATGCTTATGTGACGGTCCCGGTCAATTTTTTCATAATTTCATCGACTTTTTCAACAATAGGTTGACCTGAGCGAGGTGCATTTTTCACATCGAATGGAAGTGAATGAACCATTGTTGTGCTATACGAACTGATACAGCATCGTCTCCGTAAATTTCACAAATTTCATTGGTGGCTTGTGTGGCATTCTTCCCTTTTTTATACAAAAATTTTAAAATATGGCGGATTTCTCCATAATTTTCACTTATTTTTGAATGTTTTTTTTTTCAACTTTCCCGTTTTTTTTTTTTTTTTGTGTCGAATGTGATTGGAAGCACTGGAGAAAAAAAGACTTTTTCGACTACCCAATATTGGGACAAAATTATAGTACTCTATTTATCTAGAATTCTGTACTCATTCCTTAGTTTAGCCCAAATTTCTGGAAAACCTTAAAATATTTTGATTTAGAGTATTTACACGATTACTTGTTGGTAGTTTTACTCGTGTATGACAATTGCTCTCAAGACGGATATATACAGACTCATTGACTTCTCTTGCCTACACTTATATGTATGTATGTGCATTCGTAGCATGCCACGCATGTAGGCGTGCGACAATTTAAATGCGAGCAACGATGTTTTCGCACCCAAACAAATCGATTAATCGCGTCGGTGCAGGCGATAAAACGTTGTTGCATTCACCAGCGAACTAATTAGTTCAACGGAAAATGGCAACGTGCCGTGAACACTATGCATTACACACAGCCAAACAGCAATTATTGTAAGCTTTGCTCGCAGCCTTAATGGACGGCAGCACGCATAATGAGAGGGCGGGGGTAGATGCCAGACAGCAGTTTATGCCTCAACGTCAAGGCAATGCGAATGCGCGTCTTAATGCAATCGATGGCAATTCGCTTTAAATGCGATTATACATAGTCGCCATGTGGTTGTTGTTGCCGCTGCTGCTGCCTACGATTGAGCATTTAATTGTGCTTAAACACGAACATTTTAATTTGTGGCACAAAGTGTGTTGCAAACGCACTGTTGCGCACGCACACACTCAAACGGCGACTTTAGTTCAGCGAAAACGCAGCAAAAAATCAAAAAATGGCAAATCAAGTGCCACAAATCGCGCAAATGAACATAAAAACCACTCTGGGTGAATGTTGCAAGTTGTTGTTTTGGGAGTTGCGTGAAAATCAATGAAATTGCCGCAGCGCAATTAAAATATACGTGTATATATGTGTGTGTGTGTGGCGAAAAGAGGCATGAGATCAATAAAATTGGCATGCGAAATATCAAATGACCAACATGTTGCCCGCACAAATGTCGACACCACAAACAAAGTTGCAATACCACTTCTTGCGCATGCGTAGTTCACTCTCAAAAACTCGCCTGGCAGTCACCTTAGCAATGACCGAGCATTCGCGTTCGCCAAAGACTTGATTAAGTGTGCGACCGATCGACGGATGGACGGACGTTCGGACCGATCGAATGTGTGAACAATCATTTGAAGTTAGAGCTTGCGTGTCAGCGACGCATTCATCAATTGCTTTCGTATTTGTTCGCTGACAATGAATTGCACTAACGCAAATGCGCAAACACACACACACACACATATATACATGTCAATGTAAAAGCGCACTCGCTTGTAGTGTTTTTTACGTTATGCGCATACGCTTGCGCTGTTGCATCACACACAAGGAAGCTCAACGGCACAGCGGCAGCTCTCAAATTAAAATTCCGTTGGCCGGCAGGGTGCGTAATTAAAAGTGCAAACACCAACAAAAAATTAGCAAATAAATGAATTCAGTTGTTGCTGCTTGCTGCTCGTATGCACTCGATTTTGACAGGAACCCGTATTACTGGGTTTTGACCGGCGCGATTTACATTTGAAAGCACGCACTGGATTATTTATGATTTACAATATGAGGAGTCATTTGAAGGCGTTCAAAAGGAAATTAGCGGCATTAAAATTGTCACAAATTGATATTTATGAATATATTTTGGGTATCAATAACTGGATCAAACCAATATCACCGTTTGGGTGCGATTTCTAGCAATTATGTGTAGAAAATCTCTTTTAAATTATTATTATTATGGATTGTAGTACGAGTTCCTCCAGAGCGTAGTTAGAATAGCTGGATGTCACAAACCTTCGTACGTGAATAAATATTAGGTTATCAATAAAGTCTTGCGGTATTTTTATTTGAATTTTCAATTGTTCATAAAATTTTTTTTGATGACTCATGCCCAGCTCTTGACTGATACTACGGATGCTACTATGCCGGTCTCTTTCGACCAATTCAGGGATTTTATCGCAATTTTCGACGACAGGCCTTCCGGAGCGTGGCGCATCTTCGACCACCTCTACACCAGAACGAAAAAGTTTAAACCATCGTTGTGCGGTGGAAATGGAAACCTTATCGAGTCCATAAATTGCACAAATTTTATTGGCGGCTTGAGATTCATTTTTGCCTTTATCGTAGTAGTACTGTAAAATATGCCATATTTTCTCTTTATTTTGCTCCATGTTTGCGACGCTATAACTCACGAACGACTTAAAAGAAACAATAACCATTCAAACACGTGTTAACACGTGAAATGAGCTTTCCAAGAAAGTACTCGTATAGCATGACCCGATGCGACGAATAAAACTAGAACTACGCGCTCTCAGCGCCAACTAGCGAAAATACCGCAGGACTTTTTTGACAACCAATATTAACCGCCTATACTTTAGGTAGTAAGCTACCTTTTAGCATGAGTCAGTTTACACTTAGATGGCTAATCGAAGATCGCACGTGGACTGCTAGGTGTAGTCCT